ATTCTTTTTGTTAAATTTTATTAGTGTTTTCATTGTTTTTTGTTGCATTTAGTATCCACGTGATTTTTCTTGTGTTTTAGAAATCCTATAGTGTCTTTGTGTGTGTGTTTTTAGTTATGTGAAGTTAAAATAATGGAATACACACATGTAGATGCTAAGAAGAGAAATGATGATCATGAACAAGTCCAAAGTGTCAGAAATATCAATTCGGATGAAGGCCTTACTTTCGAATTTAGATTCAGAAATTTAGTTAGCTTTCCACTGATGGTGATTTCAAGCCAAACGGAACAGAGGTTTAAGAATTATCATCGATTTAGTAGACACATATCATTTTCATGCTTAAGAAAAGCTCATCCAGAAATTTTCCTTCAATGCCAGAGGTCATATTAACTTAGTGCAGTAGGATCAACATACAATTAGAGACTTTTTAATGATGTAATCATCTAAGATATGATCCACTTTATTTTGGAATAATCCGGTCCAAACAAATTTATATTCAAGGAATTTTTAGACATTTTTTAATATAGTGAGATCAACAATTTTTAGACATTTTTAATACAGTGAGACCACTAGAGACTTTTTCATGATATCATTATCCAAGATTTGATCCGTTTTATCTTGGGTCGACCAGGTCTAAACGAATTTGTATTTAAGCAATTTTTAGACATTTTTTAACTGAAATTTGTTTTGTGAAGGATTCTTCAATTCTATCATTTATATTTTTGTTTATGCATTTTTCTTATATCTTTCACCATGTTTAATGAGTAGTCTTTTGTTTGATCATGAGTTATGATAGATTAGGATAATTTGATAGTTAAATGATGATGATTTATATTGCTTATTGTAGATTTCTTCATTTAGGTTAATCTTATTATTATGTGCACCGATTAAGTGGTTCATAAGTATCTGGTGAACATTTTATTTTAAGTTTTTTTGTTAGGTTATACAGCTAACATTAAAAAATAGTAAGAAAATACAAGGGATAATATAGTGAAAAAACACTGATAGTGAGAACATATTTCCTGAAGTCTCTCTTCACTTCATTTGGAAATGGAATAACTTATTTTGGCAATGAGATGTTTGATTACTGAACAATAACATTTGGTGGTTTTTGTTCGGAAGATTTCTAAATTGGTGAAAATAGAGCAGCATCTTGTGGGGTTTGATCAACATATACGAATGAAGTAAAAGAATGCAAAGAAATTGTGATTAAACACTATGCAATTAAACCTCATTATGGTCTTAGTAACTGAATAATCTACTCAGTTACTAATGTATAAATATATTTTTGCTTTATGATAATTATTAATTATTATTCATGTAAAGTTTAAATTCCAAATAAACATATGGATTAGTCATACCTCAATAATTACTCTTTTAATAGTGCATAATATTTAGTTACTTAATTACTTCAATCAATTTTGTTTTGAGTTTTCTTGTCAATAAAAAATGTTCCGTTTATTTTATTTTGCATCAAAAAAATATATATAAAAGAATACAGAGTAAATTAGTATTTTAAACATAAACTTTTCACTTTAACAAAATTTTCTACTTCAATTCTTAACTAGCGGCACAATACTTATTTATTTTAAGTGTGTGATGATACCTTTTCTACATATAAAAATCAATTAACATATATAAGGTAATTTTCCAAACAAAAATATAAAAATTTCAAGTATATTTATAAATTTTAAAATATATCAAAACTATTTAAAAAACATTAAAACTAATTTTATTTTGCATATCGCGCGAGTCTACTTCTAGTGTATATATATTGTTTGATGATGTTGTGTTTTATATAGAGAAAAAACAAACTCATAACATAATGTTTTTTAATTTCGTCAGAAAAGCCAAATTAATTAGACAAAACTACATTTTTCTTCTAACCACACCTTATAGAGTGCTTTTTTCTTTCAAGTGCGTTTCTATATCTGTGACAAAGAAATACGTATTGCACTGCTTTTTCTTTTCTTTTTTTTCTTCAAATAAGTAGAACCACACATAAAAAGCTGGAACGCGTCGTACATTCACGCCCTTACTTTAATCTATTTGGTTCTGTTTCTTTTTCTTCTGTGTCTCATATTATATCCTTTCATATTTGCTGTCAAAAACCTTTTAAAAGTCTTAGTATTTTACTCGCTCATCTCCTTGTATTAAGAATCTTATTTTGAATTTTTGTGAAAGCGTTACTCGTTAAATAATCAACAAACTCGTTGACTCTGCAAAACCGTCATGCATGTGCTAAGTTCCAAGTAAGTGTCTATAGCTTTCTGCTCCAACAACAAAAAGAAAAAGAAAAACATCATCCAGTGTTTGATCCATTTCTTGAATCTTGTAAAAGGGTTATGTTCTTTTGATCTCTCTGTAACAATTTCGAAAATGGCGGATATATACGAGCACCAAGTTCCTGAGAAGCTTCGCGTGAGTTTCCACAATATCCAAAACTCAGAACCAAAAATCTTTCAATGTTTTTGTAAATTTCAAACCCTAAAATTCTTGTTTATCTCTGAAAAAAACAGGGGAAGTATCAAGCAATGATTGTCTACTGTATTCTTGGATTTGGTTCTCTTATTTCTTGGAACAGTATGCTCACTACAGCAGATTACTACTACAAAGTTTTCCCGGTTCGGTTTCGGTTCTGACTATTCTAAGATTCGAAAATTAGTTTTTGAATTCTGATGTTGTGTTTTAGTCATCAAAAAGTTGGAAAAAAGACATAACGTTTCTTGCATGTAGGATTATCATCCTTCAAGAGTACTCACACTTGTATACCAACCGTTTGCGTTTGGAGCAATCGTGATCCTCGCATACCACGAATCGAAAATCAGTACTCGAAAACGTAACCTGATTGGTTACATTCTATACACAATATCCACATTCTTGCTCATAGTTGTAAGTTTCTTAATTCAAGTCTTAATCTTACATTAATCTTTCATATGTAAATGGATTTTAATTATAGACGCAAGAATTTAAATTAAAAAAAAAAAACAGTTGGATTTGGCAACAAAAGGACGTGGTGGATTCGGACCTTATACCGGTTTATGCGCAGTCGTTGCTGCTTTTGGCCTCGCGGATGCTACCGTTCAAGGAGGAATGTTCGGTGATTTATCACTGATGTGCCCTGAACTAGTTCAGGTTATACATTTTAGGAGATACAATATATCCTTTTAGACTAGCTAACATATACAAGAGGAATTTACTAGCTAACATATTCCTACTTCCTTGTAGTCATACATGGGAGGTATGGCTGTAGCTGGTGCGCTAACATCAGCGCTTAGGCTAATAACCAAAGCAGCTTTTGAGAAATCAAACAATGGTCTACGAAAAGGGGCAAGTGAGTTCATATTTTTGAAGATTTCAAATTTCGAAAACCGATAGAACTCCAATCATCAAAGTGTTTATAAGTTTTTTTTGTTTTTGGCAGTGATGTTCTTAGCTATCTCCACATGCATAGAGTTACTATCTGTGATGCTATATGCTTATGTGTTACCGAAACTCCCGATTGTTATGTATTACCGAAGAAAAGCCGCTTCTCAAGGATCCAAAACTGTTTCTGCTGATCTTGCTGCTGCTGGTATCCAAAATCAATCAGACTTGGTAACTTCAGATTCCTCAAGAATCTTCCCTTTGTTGTCAAGAATCTATCTTTCTTAATTTTGTATTTTTTTTTATAAGATTCTTCACCACTAAACATTCTTTTAAGAGATTCCTAAAGAATCTATGTTTCTTGATTTTTTTTTTTTTTTGATTCCTAAAGATTCATTCTTTTTTCTAAAACTTTCCCACTCATCATCATCATTTAGCTTCATGATTTTTCTATGCAGAGTGATGATGATTCCAAGGATCAAGGGCTAAGCAAAAAAGAGCTGTTGTTTCAAAACATAGACCATGCAGTAAATTTATTCCTCATCTACGTTTGTACATTATCCATTTTTCCCGGGTTCTTGTATGAAAACACAGGACAACACGGGCTAGGCGATTGGTACGCACTTGTCTTAGTAGCGATGTACAATTGTTGGGATTTGGTCGGGAGGTACACACCACTGGTGAAATGGCTCAATATTGAGAATAGAAAATTGATCACAATTGCGGTTTTGTCACGTTATCTCCTTATTCCAGCGTTCTACTTCACTGCGAAATATGGTGATCAAGGATGGATGATTATGCTCATTTCTGTTTTGGGGTTGACTAATGGACATCTCACTGTTTGCATTATGACTATAGCTCCTAAAGGTTACAAGGTAATCTATTTTCACCTTTTACTAAATAGAGGTGTCAGATTTGATTGTTTATTTTTAAGAAAGATAAACCATGCAAGTTTGAATACTTAAACACAAATACAAACGAGTACAATCTTTGCGTTTAAGACAAGTAATCTCACATTTGTTCTATATTAAATAAAACTTTGGTTTTGATTTGGTGAAGGGTCCGGAGCAGAATACGTTAGGGAACTTGCTGGTGATATTTCTGTTGGGAGGGATATTTGCAGGAGTTGCTTTGGATTGGTTATGGCTTATTGGTAAGAAGAATGCCTTTTGAGTTCTAATCACTCCAAAACACTGCTTCACTTTAAGTTAAATTGGAGGTTAATTTGTTATGTAAAATTACAGAAAGTAAGTAAATATGTAAAACCAATAATAAATTAATAGAAACAAAATAAATAGAAGAACACAAAATAAGATTATGATACTACATTTAGTCCTAATTATATATTTGAATATATAATGGCACATATTTTAGTTCCAGAAAAATATATATCCAAAAAGTATATCAATCCATGCGAAATGAAACGGATCACAAAAATCACAAAATTTCAAGAGATTGATTACGTGAAAAAACCGCTTTATGTTACTTATGTATACAATTTCCCACATTTTTGGCTCGTCTGAACCCTAAATAATATTCGATGACAAAAAAAAAGATAACTCAATAGTGGATAAAAAATAAATTTAACCATAAAAAACGATCCTACATACCTATTTAAGTGTTCCTGAAAATTAGAAAAACATAATTGAGCGCAACGCTGGTATAAATTCTTTAAATCCATTCAACAATGAAAAACAAAACGAAATTACATCAACGCTGCACTCAATGATGTTCATTCAAACCCAGGAAAAAATATCCTCATGCTTTTTTCTATCATCTTAGAAATGAACATAAACATGATTTTATACTTGTGGAGTAGCTGACATTGCAATGCTTGTGTTGGTTTAGAAGCAGTACAATGCTTGTTGTTTGTACTGTGTACTACTTACAAACCATACTAGCATATATATTTTGAGGTTCCGAGTTTCTTTTCGTATTCAAAATTATAACTAATGAAACTAAATTTTTCTTTGTTTTCATGCGATAGTAATTAAAATTTAAAAACAACATTGTTAAGAAAATTATTAGTTAAAAATTTTAGAATAGTCCAAGTGTTTGTAATGTACTAACGATCGGTGTTCGTGTGTACTGCAGCAAAACACCAACTTTATGTACTACACGAGATCTTCTCTACGTCAACGACGTCGTTCTTTGTTCAGGCCCTTTTTTTGCTTTTTGGGATCAATCATAAGTAGCTTTAACTACTAAAGTGAATTCGAAGCAAATATTCTCTAGGATCATGATTCATGAACACCAGCTTCCTTCATGGAACATTCACAAGATTGTACAATTATACGGTTTGGTTCGATCTTTTTCATATAATTGGTTTTCGTTTTTTTTTTTGTTTTTTTTTTTATTTTTATTTTTTTTATCAAATAAGCCTTGTGTTTCATTCAGTCAATCCCATAAAAGCAAAGATTACAAGATTATCAAGCATTAAAAGGATTACAATAAACTTCAAAGACCAGAAACTAACAACATAGAAGGATAGATAAGTTTGATAAGTCATAGAGGATAGGAGATCAAAGCAATCAAGCAACAAGCCACATGCAACCTCAAGGTGTGTCATTGACATAGATACTTCCGCGAATAAGTCGGGGAATTTTGAATTAGTCATGATCGAGAGAACTTGATCTTGTGACGTTGAGAAAGTGTCATTTGCCTTTTCGCTCACCGGTACGAAGCGCAATGAAGACGTCGGGACTAATGGTAAGATATCACAGAAGATAATGGCTTTTTTGGGTACGGGTTTAATCTTAAGATTTAAGAGAAAAAGATATAAAAGGTTGAAGAAGTTTGGAACCACCGCTCATTGGAGACAAGATTATAATGCCATTCTTCTTTAAACTTGTAATTTCAAGAATAATATCACTTATGTAGCTAAATAGCTCATGTATGAAATCGATATGCAAGTGAATAAAAGATAAAAGGTTGAAAGGATAGGGTTTTCGGTTTATATGGTTTTATTTATACAAAATTCAGTTCGATTTGGCTTTAATGGTTTTCAATTATCGAAAGATATGAAATGATATCAAATTTGGTTTGCTTTTGATCTGGAAAAGTTTCATGCAATGCTAGTTTAGGTCTATTGTTTAGTAAGATTGTAGAATTTTTTTCCAATAGTAAAATCAAATTTTATTAGGTTTCGAGCTAGTTGTATTAAACAGGACATTTTTAGATTGAAAATTCAATTCTTACATGTATAGCTGATGTCTTCCTAAAAGTTCTGACTTTTAGCTCAAACTAAAATAACATAAGCATATGTTGACTAAATACAAAAGATAAACGAAGACTTTATATGATCATTTAATGACACTAATGATTATGCTATAAGTAGACAACAATATAAACATAATACCTTATCCGATTTGAAAAAAAGAAAAAGAAAAACTCTAATTACTTCGTTAATCGAATATACATTAATTATATCTTCAAATGTAAGTTGATCAAACTGTTTTAGATAGATCCAATATTACTGAATTAACCAAGTCATCTAAAAGCCAATGTTAGTCAACAACACAGTTTAACGTGGTTACAAACTTACAGTTGATTAATGTTGGATCTAAGGGTTTTATTCGTTTAATGGAATAGTTAAGTGTGTTTTTCTTAGCTAAATAGCATTTTTAAAAATGTCCTCTATGCTAATATATCCAACTTATTATATATTGTTATACCTCATATGACGTACTGTTAGGACCACATTTATATAACCCATGTGATTATAGAAGCTATTTCCTCATTACTAAATTATCAAACATACGTATAAAGTCCACTTTCGGTTTTGGCGACATTAAATTGATTAGTCTCTTGGTCGATTAAGATCATTAACATTTCTCCTACACAAGAAATTTAAAAGATAACTATCTATATAAATTACTCAAAGTCATTTAGTATAGTAAACTTGATCCATTCCTACTATAAAATCTTTAGTACGTAGATATTATAGTGTAACAAACAATAAATGAAATGGAAAAATACAGCCGTATATAAACGACGAAATCTTGGTGTTTGAATTAAGTTGGGCACAGTGATGTATAAGAAAACTCTGATATTGAAAATCTTGGTCATACAAATACACAACACAAGTGTATATCGAGGACAAAACGTGTTTTTTGTATGGAATAATGAAAACAACTTTTGGGATCATGTAAAACAAGATTTGCCTTTTTAGTCCAACTGATTCATATGCCACCGCCCAAAGTACTTACATGTCTTAGAGACTTTGTAGGTTTGATTGACAGAGAATATTGCCAATTAAGAAAATATTTGATCAACCAACTGAAATGACAAAAAACAACCTAAACAAAAATGAAGTTGGTATGAGGTGATTGTCTAAATTAAATTTACTTGTTAATCTGTGAATTTTCGAAAAATTACCTTTTAATTATAAAATTTAAACAGTTAATGTAACAAATAAAAACCTCATTTAATTTAAATCAAAATAAAAATCAAATAAATAAATTTACATTTATTCTTTTTATTTCTCAATCTTTTTGTCAATTATTTCTCAGTTTTTAGTTTCTCTACTTTTTAAGTATATTTTTCTTTTTGAAACAATCTGTCTATTATTAGAAAAATATGATAATCACTTTCTTATCATATTTTTGCTTTATTTTGTGTTTCATATGTTTTTCTTTTTCTTTCTAATGGTTAAAACTGGATTTGTGTTATGTAGAAAAATGTTCTTGTGCCTATAATGTGGCCAGTTCTTTTTTTCGGTAATAGACTTGCCACCAAACAAGTTGTGGTGTAGTTTAAGCCAACTATTTATGGTGTCGAAGTTAGACTTTAGATTTAAAACTTTAGAGTTTATATATACAGTAAAATCTCTATAAATTAATAATATTGGGACTACAAAATTTTATTAATTTAGAAAGGTATTAATTTATCGATAAATTAATATTTATTAATTTATAAAAAGATTTTCCTAATTTGGTAACTTTTTAAAAATTTCTATAAAATTTCTTTCATTATTGAAAATATAATAATAATGTCTACAAACAACACCAACAGTTTTGATACAGTAAAATATGATAATTATACTCAAACAAAGAACAAATATGAATTTAAGCAAAAAAATATTATAAATATATTATAAGGAAATGTTTTATGTTTTACATATAATATATATGTAGTTGATACATTTATACAATTATTAATTTACGATATTGATGGGACCATATATTTACATAAAACTTTCAAAACAATTATTATCATATTAATTTATCGTTTGTGTCACTTTTTACACTGGTTCCAACTTAAGACCGGAAAAATTTATTAATTTATAGAAGTTATTAATTTATAGAGTATTAATTTATAGAGGTTATACTGTATAATATTAAAAGTTGGCCAACAACAATTAAGGAAATTATTTTTAAGGGTGCCTAAAACATATGAAAGATTTTAATTCTTCTTGTTAAAACTTGCTAATAATTTATTGTTATAAGCTTTTATTATAGTCTCTTATTATAGTCCTGGAAATTTGATGTTTAGAAAAAAGTATACTATGACGACAGTGTTTTAAAGTTTCCAAAAAAATCGATAAAAATCTCGCTCAAACTGAAAATCGTGATGAATAGTGACATTTGACAAGTTTCAACATTCAGTAAAAATTGCTAACAAAAGATATTAAAAATAAAATCAAATGTGGTAACATTGTAAAAATATGCTAACATAATCCTATACTATTATTGGGAAATACATAATAAAATAACCATATTTTTTGTAAGTAATTACATAGGTATGCAATTAAAAATAAAATTTCAAAGAGTAAAATAATTCATCTTTTTAAATATTAGAAAGTCAAATACTAATTTAATTAATTAAATTTAATTAAAAAACAAAATACATTTTTAATTTCTAAAAAAGTAACCAATCAAAATCAACATATAAGATTTGATATCCAAATTTTAATTAATTTAATTTAATTAGACAAACGAAATACATTATTAATTTCCAAAAAAAATAACTAATTAAAATCAACAAATTAGATTTGATATCTAAATTATCATATTAATTATTATAGTTCATCTCTCATCTTTATATGATTCTATTTTTGCGAAAAAATAATATTATTGTTATAAAAGAATAATTAGCTTTTCGCATGTGCCATGATTTATATTTTTAAAAACGAATATAAACTGTTCAATACATGAAAAAATATTACAACAGGTCAAAAATAGATTTTAGAAAACTTTCTACTAAGTAACGGGTTATAATTTGAATATTTATATTCAATTTCATACATATTATTTTGAAAATTTATAATCTTATATACTATAATAATTAATAACATATTAGATTTTTTTATGTGTATGATGTGATTCAATTTTTAATACAAGCTTGGAAATCTTAGAATTGACGGGTTTAAATCGATATTAATACAAGATAGTAATTATAGGTGAAACTCTAAAATTAACAATTAAAATACAAGTGTATAATCTTAAATACTGAACAATATAATAATATCAACAAAAATATACAACTAGCAGTTTACTATACATTTAAAATCCATAAAATAATATTATATATTTATAAATCATTTTTACAATAAAAAATTTTAGTTTAACTAAAATATAAGACTACCTACGATATACCGCACGTTTATATCTAATTACGTATATATAAAAAAGAAACAACTCAACTAACCCACTTACGTTTCCGTCAATTCAAAAATAAAACTATATATTTTACCAAAAAAAAGTAAAGAAAAAAAAAAGTAAAACTAGATATATACAAT